AGCAGCAGCAACAACAACAACAGCAGCAGCAGGGAGCAGCGGGGGGATATTGATGATGATGACAATGACACATGCAATCCATCAATCAATCAATCAAGCAGACGAGCAAGCAGGCAAGCGAGCCAAACAAAGGACATGTATTCATTCACTCCACGTGGACGAGCGACACGCCCACCACGTGGTGCGTGCGTGTGTGTTGTACTCACTGCTCTGCTTCCTTCACACTGTTCCTCTCTTCCTCGCAGTCCACTCTCCCTTTCTTTCTCTTGCACACCCCTTGCTTGACCTGCTCTCTGCACACCCTCTCTTCTCCACCCCCCCCCACTCACACGTCTCAAGTCACATGCCTCCCACCTCCCCCTTTGCTTTTGGCTGCAACGCTGCGCGTCTTCATCTCCACCTCCACCACCTGTTTTGCAGGCTGACGTTGAGGATGATGATGGTGGCTTGAACAACAGTACCGTATCCTTGAGCGGGTGCCATCACCGTGTGCCACGGCAACAAGAGGCACTTCCTTCTCTCTCGCTCTGTCTCGGTATGTGCATGGCTGATGGCGTGGGGGGGGTGTTGCCTGGGATTTCCATTCGGCTGCACTGCACCTCAATGCGCTGTGTGACGCGACATGCACACCACAGCTTGCACTCCTCCTTCCCCCACTTATCCCCTCTGCAAGTCCTTGTCCTTGTCAACCGCGTCCCCTCGTCAATCACACCCCCCACACACACTCTCTCCTTTACCCCTGTCACGATGTGTGCTTGCTTCAGAGCAGGCCGCTGACATTGTCATCACCACTGTCAGACGGTGGTCGGTGCCATGCACGGGCATGGAGACAGTGAGCCAGCTCGTGGTCTCCAGCGTGGTGGCTGGAATGTGTGTTGAGGTGAAAGATCCCACCACCACACTTCCGCTTCCATATCACCATGGCTGACACCACTAGCACTGCTGGTTGACACGCACCAGCAGACATCGCTCCCAGCGCCACACAAGATGTGTGTGTGTGTGTGTGTGATTGAATTCATTTGCACTCGTTGCTCCTCCCGCATGTCGAAACAACCACGCACACCGACCACCCCTCGTCAACACAACACCATTCAACATCCCCACTGGGCTGATGCAGGGCTGCACTGGCACGTCGTGCACGACAGCTTCTCATCGTCAGTTCTCCCTTCTCTCCTTTTTGGTCTTCACACAAGTCGCATCACCCCCGCCCAGCAGAGCGCCTGCATCTTACGCCCCACCCTCCCGTTGCACGCGTGCGCACACCGATTCCGACCCAGCGCAGGCTCTGCTGCTGCAGCCAACCACCCACACACATCGTCACCGCAACGCCGCTTCAACCAATCGCAGCCACTGACAGCCACCGGCATTGCACCTTTGCTGTGATTGAGTGCTGCCAGCACGTGGCCCCACCTCAACCTGCCACATCATCATCACTATCCCCGACACTGCCATGTGTGTGTGTGCATGCATGCGTGTTCACACCATCGTTAACCACACCACATTGACACAGCAACAGCTGCACTGCTTGCTGTCCTGCGCGGCGTTGTGGCGGTGCACTCAAGGCCCTTTTGCCAGCCAGTTTCTCGCTGCTGCTAGCTGTACTTCTCCCTGCCCATCTCAATCACCTCAGCTTCAACCACAACTGCTGCTGTTTTCCGCCACCTCATCGTCTGCCAGCGAAGCATCACACCGCGGCCACAGCCGTCACTGCACGCTGCCGGTTTCAAGCAGCTCACTGCGCTGGATGCTGTTGGCTCGTGGACCACCACACCGTGGTTGGAAGAGGGATTGGCCGTGATTGTGGCGGTTGTTGTGGTGGTGCTGCACGCAATGACAACAACAGCGGCAGTTGATGAGGTGATGGTGTGCTTGCGCTCCTCACTGGTTGCAGCGGCAGCAAGGAGGTGGCCATCGTGTTTCTGGTTGGCATGCATGTGCTGGCCGACGTGGCGCAGGAGCGGTTCAGGGACTACGACAATGACTCTGTGCCGTTTATGAAGAACATTCTCCAACACGCAAACAACAGGCAATACCGCATGCTGCGCGGCCTGATGGGCGTGTCTGTTTGCAAGGACATGTTTGCGCCGGATGCACACGACTTCATGCGCATTATGCAAGCCAGCGCCGCCCAGATTGAGGAGGATGATCCACAACCCTCATACATCCACACAAGGTGCGCTCAAGGCCAAGAGAGACAGAGAGAGAGAGAGAGAGTGTGTGTGTGTGTGTGTATGTGTGTGTGTGTGAGTGAACATGTGTGAACATGTCGCTTCGTCGTTTCCCTCCTTTCTCCACTTTCGGCTTGCCAAGCCTCACCGCCACCCCTTGTCGTCCTGCCGCGTTCAGGCTGTTGAGTCGCTGCTCGCTGTGATCCAGGGTGCCCGGCTCCCGCGAATCGCCCAACACCAGCGCGACCGAGAACTGCATCTCCGTCTTTGTCAAGATTGCACGCAACCGAGCACACGGCCTCTCAGAGGTGTGTGTGCGTGTGTGTGTGTGTGTGTGTGTGTGTGTGTGTGTGTGTGTGTGCGTGTGTGCGTGCGTTGGTACACTCCTTCTTCGCCGTCCTTTTGCTTTGTTTGTTTGCTCTTGTCACTTTTTCGTCGCTTTTTCTTTACCTCCTCATCCACCCATCCACCACCAACCCTTGCACAGCCGAGATGCTGACACATTTGCTTGACTGGCTGTCCATTACAGAAGACGACGATGAAGCAAAGTACATCTTCACATACCTCGTCGAGGTCCTCCAAGCGTGAGTGCTACCGCTGTACTTTGTGTGAGTGAGAGTGTGTGTGTGTGCATGGCCTGGTCGTGCTGCATGTGTCGGTGGTGTGCTCTGCCGCCTGTCGTTCTTGTTCCCGACTGACTCCCCCGTCCCCTCCTCATTGCTTCCTGTACCTCCCTCGCCTTCCTTTTGTTGTTGCTTCAGTCGGCAAGATCCCACGCGTGACCGCGCCTGAGAGCCCGGTGAAGATTGTGCGGGCGTTTGTTTGTGCAGATGATTGGCACCCCGGCGGCCGCCGTCGACGAGCCCCACTGCCAGGGCATGTACACAGCCTCATGGTGCGTGGGTTGTGTTGTGTGTGATTTATGTGATGTGTGTGTGTGTGTGTGTTTGCTGCCTCGAATATGCGCGACTGTCGTGTACTTCGTGTACTTTCCCATCCTCCTCCTCCTCCTCCTCCTTCCTCCTCTTTGCACTCCTCATTCTCACGCCCTCGTGTCGTTTCCTCTCGTAGAACATGCAGGATTCGCCTGCCCACGGGGTGGTGGGGCAGTTGATGCAGGATCCTGAGGTGCACGCCCGCGTGCAGCGCGCTGTTAAGGCGCTTGGCTCGTCCGCGTAGTCGCCATGTTGTGATGTGTCGTGTCAACTTGTGCACAAGTTGAACGAATGGCTGGATGTCTGTCGATTCCTCTGTCGCATTCCTCTTGTTGCTCTCTTCCCTTGTCTTCTTCTCTTCTCTTCTTGTTCTTCTCTTCTCTTCTGTTCTTCCCTTCCTTCACTCTCCTTCTCGCCTGCTTGCTTGCTTGCTTGCTTATGTCACGCCCTTCTTGTGCTTGCCTGTTCTTTTCATTGTATGGCGCTGTGTACGGCTGAACACGTTCTTGGTGTGGTTGGTGGATGTGTGCTGCTGCTGCTGCTGTGCGTATTTGATTCTGGCTTGTGACTGGAGGGTGTTGTTTGATGTGCAGAGGGGTTGGCTGTTGTTTGGTTGGCTTGGCTTCATGTTGCATTTGGGCACTGCTGTGTGTGTGGATGTGTGTTGAGGTGTTGAGAGCGTTGTTTGTGGGTTGTGTGGCGGACCTGTTCTTTCCTCAGTAAAATGGCTCGATGAAGATGATGAGACCCGCTTGACGGTGGTGATGGTGGAGCGGCGGTGATGTTTGTGGTTGATGTGGCTACAGACACTGGTGTGTTGTACCAACCAGGCAAGACCAAGCGAGGAGGGCGCGGCTGTTGTTCCTTTCGGCGACAAGAGAGTCGGGTTGTTGCTGGCTGGAGGCACTTCATCCTGTTTGTTTGTTGTGTTTCTGTCGACAACGAGGGCTCGAATGAGATTGTTGACGAACATCTTCCACGGAAGCGCTGCTGTGCGGATAACCTCTGTAAGGTTTTGCGAATCGTCCAGATGGCTGAGTCGCAAAACACACACACACAAAACAAAGGAAACAAACAAAGCAGCGCGTTGAGTTGTCGTCGTCCATTTTGTCGTCGTCTTCTTCCAGTCACTCACGAACACGTCACAACAAGCCACAAGGAGAAAAGACGACGCGCCGTCGCCATGTCCGGCGGAGAGAAGAGAGCGAGGGAGGAGGTGGAGGCGTTGCTGGCGCAGACGAAGCTGAAGGATGGGGTGAAGGAAGAGATCAGGGCCATCGCCAACAACACGTGTGGGGACAATGTGGGGTGAGTGCAAAAGCAACCAAAACGACGTGTTGGAACATGCATGCATGTGTTGGAGAGAAGGACACTTCTTGTGGTTGTGCTTATTCTCCCCTCTCTCTGCTGCTTGGCTTGTCCTTGTGTTGCAATGAGCTTGGTGTGGCTTGCTGTTGGGTGTTCACGTGTACGTGTCCTGTCCCCTCGCACCGCCTGGACACACTGTGTGTGTTTGTGTGTGTTTGTGGCAGGTTGTGACTGGCACCCTCATGTTTTTGCTCTCTTTATCCTCATTATTCTTGCTCATTTCATGACACACACCATTCATTTGTAATTACAGCTTGGTTGGTGCTGGCCTCGGCGACATTGAGGCGCGTGCAGTGGCTGAGGCGCTCAAGGACAACACTTGCCTCAAAGCACTCGAGTGCGTGGTTATGATGAATCTGCATCGTGTGACATGCATGGTTGATTGGGGTGGCGGTGTTGCATGTTGCACCCCTTTCTCCTCTCCTGCTGGCGCATGTTTGGACGTGTGTTCACCGTCGCTCCCTGCGGTTCTTGTGTGTCTGCACAGCCTGTGGGGCAACTCCATCGGTCCTGAGGGCGCTGTGGCGTTGGCGGAGATGTTGAAGCACAACACGACCCTCGAAAGACTCGAGTGCGTGTGTACACGCACACACGCACACACATGTATGCTGCGTCACTGCCGTTGCACCTTTATTACGTACACATGTGCCCATGTGTGGTTGATGACTGTGTTGCCACCCACAGCAATCATCATCACGCACTCACTCTGACTTCCTCACTCACGTGGCATCATCGCCCTGCGTGACAATACACCAACTTGACAGCCTGTTTGGCAATGACATCGGCCCTGAGGGCGCCGTGGCGTTGGCGGAGATGCTGAAGCACAACACGACCCTCGAAAGACTCGAGTGCGTGTGTACACGCACACACGCACACACATGTATGCTGCGTCACTGCCGTTGCACCTTTATTACGTACACATGTGCCCATGTGTGGTTGATGACTGTGTTGCCACCCACAGCAATCATCATCACGCACTCACTCTGACTTCCTCACTCACGTGGCATCATCGCCCTGCGTGACAATACACCAACTTGACAGCCTGTTTGGCAATGACATCGGCCCTGAGGGCGCTGCAGCGTTGGCGGAGATGCTGAAGCACAACACGGCCCTCAAACAACTCTAGTGAGTGTGTACACGCACACATGCACACATGTATGCTGCGTCACTGCCGTTGCACCGTATCACGTGCACATGTGTGGCTGGTGGGGTGGGGTTCAACGACTGTGTTGCCACCCACAGCAATCATCATGCTCTTCCTCACCCATGTGGCATCATCCCCCTGTGTGGCATCATACCATCTTGACAGCCTGGGAGGCAACCGCATCGGTCCTGAGGGCGCCGTGGCGTTGGCGGAGATGCTGAAGCACAACACGACCATGACATTGCTCGCGTGAGTGTGGACACGCACACACACACATGTATGCTGCGTCACTGCCGTTGCACCTTATCATGCGCACATGTGTGGTTGATGACTGTGTTGCCACCCACAACAATCATCATCACTCACTCACTCACTCTTCCTCACCCATGTGGCATCATCCCCCTGTGTGGCATCCACCATACCGTCTTGACAGCCTGTACAACAACCGCATCGGCCCTGAGGGCGCCGTGGCGTTGGCGGAGATGCTGAAGCACAACACGACCCTCGAAAGACTCGAGTGCGTGTGTACACGCACACACGCACACACATGTATGCTGCGTCACTGCCGTTGCACCTTTATTACGTACACATGTGCCCATGTGTGGTTGATGACTGTGTTGCCACCCACAGCAATCATCATCACGCACTCACTCTGACTTCCTCACTCACGTGGCATCATCGCCCTGCGTGACAATACACCAACTTGACAGCCTGTTTGGCAATGACATCGGCCCTGAGGGCGCTGTGGCGTTGGCGGAGATGCTGAAGCACAACACGACCATGACAGGGCTGGGGTGAGTGTGTACACGCACACATGCACATGTATGCTGCGTCACTGCCTGTTGCACCTTTATCATGTGCACGTGTGTGGTGGAGTGGGTTCAACGACTGTGTTTCCACCCGCAGCGATCATCCCGCACGCACCCTTCCTCACTCATATGGCATCATGGCCCTGTGTGGCTTCATACCATCTTGACAGCCTGAGCAACAATTCAATCGGCGATGAGGGCGCTGTGGCGTTGGCGGAGATGCTGAAGCACAACACGGCCCTCAAAAGACTCTAGTGAGTGTGTACATGCACACACACATGTATGCTGCGTCACTGCCGCTGCACCTTATCACGTGCACATGTGTGGTTGATGACTGTGTTGCCACCCACAACAATCATCATCACGCACTCACTCACTCTTCCTCACCCATGTGGCATCATCCCCCTGTGTGGCATTATACCATCTTGACAGCCTGTACAACAACCGCATCGGCCCTGAGGGCGCCGTGGCGTTGGCGGAGATGCTGAAGCACAACACGACCCTCGAACGACTCGGGTGAGTGTGTACACGCACACACACACATGTATGCTGCGTCACTGTCGTTGCACCTTATCATGTGCACATGTGTGGTGTGGTGGGGTGGGGTGCAACGACTGTGTTGCCACCCACAACGATCATCATCACGCTCTTCCTCACTCACGTGGCATCATCGCCCTGCGTGGCATCATACCGTCTTGACAGCCTGGGGGCCAACTCCATCGGCCCAAGGGGCGCCGCGGCGTTGGCGGAGATGCTGAAGCACAATACGACCATGACATCACTCTTGTGAGTGTGTCCACGCACACGTGCACATGTAGATGGAAATGGGCTGCGTTGCTGCCGTGCTGTCACTGCCGCCGCTCAAACCAGTTGCAAGCAAGCAGGGCGTATTCCTGCCTGCAACAGTGACCCGCTTCGTTCCTGTTGCCAACTCACCTGTTTCTCCATCTCATCCAACAGCATTTCCCACAATGGTATCACGGAGCGTGGCATGGTGAACGTGCTGAAGCAGCTGCAACACATTGACGCCAAGGCCAAGATTCTGTGAGTTTCGTGTGCTTGCGACCTTGCTCCACCCACATGCACCGAATCAATTTCAGTTCAAGTTCTTTCATCTCACATTCCCTCTTCACGGCATCACAGGCTGTTTGAGGACAAGCTCAAATCCTCCACTGCCGTTGCCCGTGCACTGGCCACGCTCCGCACCAAGCGGCCACACCTCCACGTCGTCTACAGCCTGTGAGTTCATACAGAGTGCTGCGTCAGGCGTGCTCTTGTTAAAACCACCCGTCTCATCCCCATCTTCTTGCCTCCGTTCACGCTGCATTATTCTTCTCCTCAGGTACGACGGAACAGAGGACGACTTCAGCCCTGCCGCCAAGGCCGCCTACCAAGACCAGCTCGATCTTCTCAGGCTGCTAGAAACAGGCTCCGTTCCTCTGGAGACAGCAAAAGTGTTCGTGTGCGGCCATGGTGGCATTGGCAAGACGACCATGATCGAGTCGCTCCCAGGTGCTGATGAGGCCAGCGGCTACCTTTCCCGATTCCTGTCATCTTGGTTCGGGCAGCCACGTCACGATCCAGAACAGCCTGGTGCGCGCACACCCGGCATTCGGGTCTGTGAAATGAAGCTCAAAGACTCCAGCCGTGCCAATGATGAAGCCGCCTCTCTCCGCGTGTACGATTTTGGCGGGCAGCTCGCATATCACGTGATCCACACGCTGATGATGTCGGATCGCTTCGCTGCGTTTGTCGTCTGCGTCGACCTGTCTGAGCCGGAAGAACATGTGAAGGAGCGCGCCAACTACTGGCTGCAGTTCATCTGCACACGACTGAAGCAGGGCATGGCAGCCGCGACAGCAACGGCAGACGGGGATGCCATGGAAGAGATGAGGCCGCGTGTGCTCATTGTGGGCACCAAGAGGGATCTTGCTCGCAAGAAGAGACTTGTGGATGAACATGGCCAGCCACCGTGGGGTGCAGCGATGGTCGCACACTTGAAGACCACGTATGGCAGCATCGTTGACATCCAAGACAGCCTCATCTCCCTCAACTGTCATCAGGGTGGTGAAGCCGGGTTTGATGTGCTCCGGTCACGCCTTGTGCGACACTGGCGATGGCTGAGAGGGCGTGAGCTTCTCGTCCCCAGAGTTGTGGATCTACTTGCCACAACCCTTCGACCAGCCAGGGAGGAGAAACGAGTGTGGGCCATCGATGCGCTCTTTCAGTTAACCCTATCCCGCGCACCTGGACTCGATTTGACATCCTTCGACATGGCCATGTTTTCGTCTGCCTTAAGGTACTCTGTCATCAAGACTTCGCAGATCTGTCATCCGTGGTGTGTAATCAGCTAACTGACTTGAGTACCAGTGCAAGAATTCTCACCCCTCCTCCGTTGCTACCTATGCTTCCCACACATGTACACAGGTACCTCCACACGCGCGGCGATCTGCTCTGGTACTCCAACAACTCCACCTTACAGGATTTCGTCTTTGTTGACCCGAACTGGCTGTTACATGACGTGTTGGGGAGAGCGCTGACGCCGGATGGCGTGCAGCAAGGCTCGATCACAAAGAAAGGGGTCGTGACATTCACGGACCTGGAGACCGCATTCCGAGGCATCGCCGACGCAGATCTCGTCATCAACGTGCTGCAGCACACGCTCCTCTGCTTCGAGCTGCTGCCTTCAGACGATGGCCAACGGCGATTCATGCTGCCGAGCCGCGTTGAGAAGAAGGTCGATCTCGCAACCGCCTGGCCTCAAGCTGGTTTCTGGCCTCTCTATGCCGGACGACTGCTGGTGGTCGAGAGCAAGGCACTTGCGCTGCCACCTGGCTTCTTCCCGCACGTGCAGACGCTGTTGCACAGGTCTTTTGGCGCAACGCTGAAGGTGTGGCCAGACGCCTTTTTCTGTGAACACGATGCTGTGCAGTGCCTTGGACTACTGCGGGGCGATCGAGAAGTCGACGTCTGGGTGCGGGCACCTTCTGGCGCAGAGCACAAGGCCCTGCCATTCATGACACAGGTCGGTTTGTGAGCGATTATGAGTGCTTGTGGGCATGTGTGTTGTGTGTGTGAGCTTGCGTTGTTGTGCCCATCGCTTGTCAGCAGATGATCAGCTTCCATCTTTCACCCTCATCCCATCCTCTGCTCACTTGCGTGTTGATGGCAGGTGCTGTCTGTGCTACAAGGGGAAGCAAGAGGGATTGACCACGTCCACCTTGTTCTCAGCACGAAACGCCTGAAGTGCCACGAGCAGTACCCAGCCGCTCACAAGCTCGAGGATCTGACGGACAAGGGCCCAGACGAGCTCGTCACGTCCACGCACCACAGGGAAGGCCAGACCCCAGTGTCCGACCGCGTTGGCGATCTGTTGCTGCAGGCGCCCACGCAACCACCACCCATCATGCCGTCTTGGCAATTGCGCGACCACGAATGGCACCACCCTGCTTGGCGGCTTGATGACACCTTTGATGAGCAGCTCCCGTGGAGCGGACCGAGCTCGCATGGCGTGTATTCGGCACCCTTGCCACCAAACACCGACCTCTATCGATGGATAGAGAGCCAGATGACGCCGGGCCTCACCCTGTCGCGCGTGGAGATGACCAAGTCCACCACGATGCTGCGGGCGTTTCAGACGCAAGTGGAGCGGTCAGCGACGCGTCGTGGTGATCCAGACCCTGCAAATCCCTTCAACAAGGACTTTGGACTTGGTGATCCAGAGAAGAAAGCCATGCTTCATCGGCTCAGGACGCTGTTTGCAAAAACACGCACCGGCTTGAAGCACGTCAACGTGCTCATCGGTTTCCACGGGTGTGCAGAAGATGTCGCTGACAGCATCACCGCGTGTGGGGCAGCGAACTTCAGCAGCCCGGGCGACCGTGGCTTCTTCGGATCTGGCATCTACCTCACACCGCAGACAAGCTATGCCGCAGGGTACTCCACGCGTGTTTTGTTGAATGGTGATTTGCGCTCACCAAACTCAAATGACGAGCACGTGATGCTCCTGTGCGCTGCCAGCGTTGGCCTGGCATACCCGATCACCCGGGCCGCAGATTACCCCCATGGCTCGAATGAATGCTCCTACTATGGGAAGCCTTTTGATGAAAGCCAAGACACCCACTATGCGCAGGTGACACGCGCCACCAACTTACAGGCCACGCCCACACCTGGCACGTTTGCCTTTGAGGAGTACGTCGTTTCGCAAGAGGCGCAGGTCCTCCCATTTGCCAAGGTGTTCGTGAAGGTGGACATGGACGCCTATTTGTCGCACTTGTCAACCCTGCCATGAACACCAAGAGTGGAGACGATGTCATTCACATGCAACCTTTGTTGTTGTTGTGTGTGTGTGTGTGCGTGCGTGCTTGTGTGTGCGTGCGCGCGTGTGCGTTTGTGCCTGTGGTGGTTGGCAGCTTCGTACTTCCGCCAATTGTCTTGCACATGTTTTTGCGTTTGCGTTCATGCACAGCCTCCGTTCCCGTGTGTTTGCTGTTTCCTTTCGTTCCTACAGTGGTCATGCTGTTCCTTCTCATACCAGCCTGTTGCCACCGAGTTCCTTCTGCATTTGAATCCTGTTCAGTTACCACCACACATGTTTCCGCGTTACCGTTGCTTTGGGCCCAATACACGGTCCTCTGAACTTCGTGATCGTCTCGCCCCCATTGTAATCTTGATACCAATGTACAAATGCCCCCCCCCCTTCTCAATCCCCCTTCCCCCAGATTCATGCACTAATAACGCAAGCATTGCGAATCAACTGAAGCATCGATGAAATACAACAAGACAAAGCGATGGCTGCAGCCACGCACGCTTGCAGCAGCACTGCAACAACAACAACAACAACAAAGCACCACTAACAACCACCCAACACAATCGTACAACCCCCCTCTTCACCCACATCAATGCAAGTAGACGGGGATCTGGCAGATGAAGGGGCGCTTGAGTTCACACTGGATGTCCTTTGGCACTGCCATGGCCCTGGACTGTCTGCTCCGAAACATGAGCGCGGGGCAGTTGAAGCGACACTCGCTGCGGGCTGTCGTTGGCGTCCACGGTCCAAACGCCAACGTCTCGGACGGGTTGGCTACACCACCGTCGCCTGCAAGACTGGCAGGCAGGTATGTCTCGATCCACGCCTGCGTGTGCAGTTCTGTATCTTCACTGCCACCCACAGCACGCGTCGCGTTGCGCGCCAGCTTCGCCACGTGGTCGCTGACAACATGTGATTGAACGATGGCAAGGAAGCCGCCTCGTGACGCGCATGCACTTGTTGCCTCAAACCACGTTGCAGGGGAGTCGGCCACTGCCTCGTACCGGTACCCAGCGAATACGGTTGTCGTGGTTGTGGTCGTGGTCGTCGTGGTGGTTGTTGTTGTGGTAGTAGTGGTCGAATCGAAGATGAAGGTGACAATCACGCTGCCGGTGAGCTGGACTGGGTCCTCCAGCGTGCCACGCACGATGACGGAGTAAGCCACGCCAAACTGCAGTTCCCGCTGCAACAGAATGTCGACCCCGCTGTTGGTGAGGTAGAAGTACTCGCTGTCCGGTCCGCCGAGCGTGTAGTCGAAATCGTGCCGCTCCAGGCCGAGGCCAAAGTCACGAAGCGCGGGCATGCGGAACACGCCCTTGCCGACGACGTTATCGCGTGCAGAGAGCGATACAGTGTATGTGGCATCCCCAACGAACAGCGAGTTGGTGACGACGACTCGGTAGGAGACGGTGTCGTTTGGGTTGTCGGAGCGGCTGCGCACACCAATGTACACCAGGTCCGACGAATCCGTGTTGTTCACAAGCACGGCCTTTACGGGGGCGTCCCCCTCCACAGAGGCGTCGTTGTTGAAAGGGCCAGGACTGTCATTACCCGACACATACAAATCGCTGCGTTGGAGGGTGGTGTGCGAGTGAGTGTGAGTGTGTGTTTGTGAGTGTGTGATTGAGTGAGTGTGTGTGTGAGAGGATGGCTGTGTGATTGGCTGTGGGAGGATCGTTGCGTGCACCGTACCGCAATACGCCGCGGGCATGACCAAGAGTGGCACCACGTACTCGTGTACACAACGGCCAGCGACCAAGCATTGAAGCGAGCAAGCAATTTCGCGTACACCGCTGTCATTGCAAGTCGGTTCGGTGGCCACTCACGTATCGCCGGAGAGCTGCTCGATGTAGATGAGGACATCGTCAGTCAGGTCCTGCAGGTTTGGTTGGAAATAGCGGATCTCGCCCGGGGCAGTCTCGTTCACCATTATCTGCCGCCGCAATGTGTTTGTGTGTGTGTGTGTGTGTGTGTGTGTGTGTGTGTGTGTGTGTGTGTGTGTGTGTGTGTGTGTGTGTGTGTGTGTGTATGAACGTGTTCGTGTGAACATGTGTAGTTGCGTGTACATGTGAGGGCACTTTCAGAGTACTACATGAACAACCCCACTGCCTCCTCACGCTTCACAACGCACACCCTCACCCCCAAGCCACAACCGTACGTCTTGTGTCGCAGAGACGGTGGCGGCGCGGTCGCAGTTTGCGCGGGAAATGGCTGCAGCCAGCGTTCCGAATTCGCTGAAGGTGGAGATGAAGACGACGTTGCTGGTGATGGGCGGGCTGGCGATTTCGTTCAACTCGTTCTCGTTGGCACCGGCAATGCCTTTATGTCGGGTGCCCAAACATGCGGCAAGCGATGTACGCACGTGAGAGTGTGAAAGTAAATGCTGAGCCAGTCGCTGCGCGCCCACGAGTAGTCACACGCAAACAAGGCAAGAAGACACATTACACGCACTCACTCACACACACGCACTCACACACACACACACACACACACACACACACACACACACACACACACACACACACACACTCACGCACTCACACGCACTCACACACGCACTCACACACACAGCCATCCCTCCTCCATTTCACATGCTTACACACCAATGGCGTAGAGCGTCACTCCTTCGTCACGGAGCTGCTGTGCAGGGGCGGCCACGTCATCGGCAGATGCGCCGTCTGTGATGACCATGGCAACACGCGGGATACCCTCGCTGCTGGGGCGGACCTGGGCACAGACAAAACGAAAAGAGGGGACAAGTGAGCAAGTTTGACAACGCTGGGTTCTTCCGGCACATGATCGACAGTTGGTGAGTGCAAGGCATGCAGCGAAGTCAATCGCGCAAAAAGCACACACCCTCACACGCACAAACACACAAACACTCACGCCTCTATCAGCGGTGAACATGACGGTACGCGCGTAGTCGAGGGCACCACCAGTCCTCGTACCGCCTGTGATGCGAGCGCGTAGCGCAACATGCATACAGTGAGTACCCGAAGCACCCACTTATGTGCCCTTCGCTAACACAATACCACACACACACACACACACACACACACACACACACGCACACACACACACACACCAGACACCAACCATACGGATAGTTGATTGCGCTGATGGCGTCGAGCAGCTCGTCTTTGGTGTGCGTGAGGATGTAGTTGAAGTCGAATATGAGGTAGTTGTAGGACGCGTACACCATCACGGCAATGCGTGTCGTGTCCGCCGACACGTCGAAGAACGTCGCAACCTGGAGGGCATTGTAAAGGCGCATTGTTGTGTCCACAACCAGGAGCACAGAGAGGTAATATGCGGGGAGTTGAGCTTGAGTACCCCCACATGCACGCGCACACATACACACACACACAAACACGCACGCACACATACATACACATACATACACATACATACACATACATACACCTACCGTGCGAGTGAAGGAGAGCATAGTCTGGAAGTTGGAGGAACCAACAGAACCTGACCCGTCGAGGATGAAGAGGAGGTCTGCTGCGGCGTTGCCACACGTCATTTTCGGAACGCTGACGTGCACGTAATTGTCTGAGCCAATGTCATTTGGAACGGACACAAAGTCAAAGCCAGCGTCGACACACGCCTGTGCCAATGTGGCAAGGCGGGACGCCGTTGCTGCTGACCCGTCCGCTTGATACCGAAGTCGAAGTGCGCGGCCCACGTCCAGCAGGTTTGGCGCGCGCACCGCCACTTCTGGCCGTGGCGTGAATCCGTCAACGACAACAATTGTTTCCGTGCTCACAACATCAAGGCTGAGCAGCAGCTGTGCCATGTAGTCGGTCATGCGCTTGAACGTCTCATCCTGAAACGCCACGTTTCCCTGTACACAGGAAGTAGGTACGTGCGTGCGTGTGTGCGTGTGTGAGAGAGAGAGAGAGAGTGTGTGTGTGTGTGTGTGCCTATGTTTGTAAGGCTTGTTTGTGTGTCTGCAACAATGCAACACGGTTCTCGTTCATGCACACGCATGTCAGACGCACTCACCCACAAACACACACACATGTACACATACACCACACACACACACACACACCACACACGCACACACTCACTGATGTTTCGTAGACGACAAGGTCGTTGTATTGCGCGGTGCCTGTGTCAATGTAGTCCACCGCGACTCCACACACTTCAGCCTCTGTGGTGTCGCTTGGGTGTGATTCACCAGGTGCAAGCCCGTGCGCCCCTTGTCCAATATGAAGCAGCAGCGCAGCGCCAGCGAGTACCAGTGCACCAGGCACAGTCGCCACCATTGTTGGGTCTTGCGCTCAGAGGTCCTGCTTCTCTTGACAACCTGGGGTGGCTGTAAGTCGTGTGTGAGATTCGATATTGGGGGTGTTGTGCTGTACGCCTCACGCGTTAACAGTGTATGGAATCCGTATGACATCATCGCTCCTCCTCTCGATTTTCGATTGCTCGATGTACACATACGCCCAGCAACAGCTTCGCACGTACAGCAACAACTACACACACATACACACAGATACACACACACACATACACATACACAACTACACACACACATACACACACATACACACATATACACACAACCCAGCTGCATCAGCCCCTCGCCCCACAACTTCAACATGGACGCGAGTGGCAATGTGCCTGTGCGACAGGGAGCGCGAATGCGCAAGATGCTCCTGTTGTGCGGCGCGGGCCTCGTGGCTGCAGTTTTGTTGGTGGCTGTCCCCATTGACTTTGGCGGTGGCAGCAACAACAGCGACAACAGCGCGTCGGGTGCAGCGTCGAGCAGCGACAACACCAACAGCAACACCGACACAAACACGGCGACCGGGCTATCTGGTGCCGGCTCTGCTTCTACAACGCAGTCATGTACGCGCGTGTACGATGGCGTTCTCGATTGCTCCAATGCCACGTCCCGGCGGCTGGTGAGCGAAAGTGGCGCCTGCGCTGTCGCGTCCGTGGTGGAGTGCTGCTGCGACGAGTTCTACGCGCTGGAACTTGTGCTGGGTTCCATTGCCGTGTCGAGGAACACCACGGAGCTGCAGTTTGGTGATGTGCAGTACGTCGGAGGGGATGTGGTTGTCCCTGGCTCTTACTACGACACTGGCGTGTTGGTGTCTGCGGCGTTTGAGGCGCTGCAGTTTGTTGGCGGGGACGTACAGATGGTCTTCAACCACGTGACCCAGGTAAGCACTGGGCAGCTCACAAACCTCAACGGCTCGCTCCTGCTGGCCTACAACGACATCACCAGCTTCGACTTTGGCGGCCTGAGCATTGTCAACGGTGACGTGGACCTGAGCAACAACGCGCTGACGACCATTGACTTTGGCGCTCTCACGCGCGTGGAAGGCGACGTCGACCTCGCCTACAACCGCCTGACGAACATTGACACCTTCGCCCGCCTGCGCACCATTGCCGGCCGCCTCGACCTCAGCTCAAACCGGCTCACGAAGCTCGTCGTGGACACACTGCCGAACACCATCGACGAAGGCGCGTCCTATGCCTGCAACGCTGTGTCGCGGCTTGACTGGTCTGGCGTGTTCAGCACCACGGGCCTGTGCCTTGCTGGCAATGACCTGACATCACTGGAACTCGGGTACACACGACGAATCGATGGGTCGCTGAATCTCGAAGACAATGACATCGCCAGCATTGACTTTGGGTTCCTCACCACCATTGACGGCAGCCTGGTTGTTTCGAATAACGACTTGGCTGCCGTGGACATGTTCTCGCTTGCGTCTGTCACAGGCTCTCTCCGCATCAGCGGCAACCCATCCCTTGTCGCGTTTGACTGCAGCGATGTTGGCGAGTGCGTGTGTCCGGGCTTCAAGGGTCCCCTCACACGCTGTCCTGCATTCTGTGCTACCTGCCCCACCTACAACTGACTGTGTGTGTTTGTGTTTGTGTGTGTGTGTGTGTGTTTGTGTTTACGTGTGTGTGTGTGTGTGTGTTTGTGTGTGTGTGTGTGTGTGAGTGTTTGTGTGTGTGTGTGTGTGTGTGTGTGTGTGTGTGTGTGTGTGTGTGTGTGTGTGTGTGTGTGTGTGTGTGTGTGTGTGTTGAAGTGCCTTGTTTTGCTTGCGTGCTGCACAAACAGCATTTCGCGAACGCGGGCAGCTTTCAAAATGTATGCGTGTGCGTATCTTGGATCTTCTTCACTGCCTTTCCATGTACCTGCGAGCTTTAGAAGCACATAGCTTCACCCCCTTTAGCCCCGTTGTTGCCGTCTGCACACTCGCATTCCAATGGGCTTGTTACATTACACTACAACATCATTTACAAACGCTCAACGGTCGAGAAGGGCTCGTGTTCACCGTGAACAGGAAAAATGCCATCACAGCACACGAAACGTAATAACAACAGACCGATACGTTGGAAGAGATGGCCAGAACTCGCACACTCACCAACTGTTACCCAGTGGCAGGGCGTCAGCAGTGGGGAAGCAGAGACAAGGAAAGAAAGGCGCAGGGAGAAACAAGCGCCTCAGCACGCACCAACATGTACCAAGTGAACGCAACGACATGCGCACACACAGTACATGACAACTAACACAACCACACACACAACCACACACATAGACACACACACACAACCACGCACACAACCACACACATAGACACACACACACAACCACGCACACAACCACGCACACCCACAACCACAACCACACACACACTCACACACAAGCACACACGCCTCAGCAGCCAAGGTCAATGGTGATGACCGAGTGCGACGCGGACGGAACGGCGTAAACGAGTTCCGTGGCGGGGGAAAACACGCCGCCCGTCCACTTGAAGTTGTCGCTGTCCGGGACGGCGATGGTCGTGGACACAGTCTCAGTGGCAGGGTCGATGACGAGCACATCGTCGGAACCAAAAGGCACGCCGACCACCAAGCCGTTGTTCGCAGCCAGGGCACCGCCACGCCACTTGCCTGGCCTGGTTGGCACGCCGTTGGCGATGGCGCGCGTGCTGTTGTCCGCGGTGTCGATGACGAGGACGCTGCTCGCGGAGAACGGGATGCCGTAAATGTGGCCGTTGTTAGCAAGGACGGCGCCAAAGTAGCCCTGGGTGTTGGTGGACAGCCCTGTAATGGCGATGGTGTCGGTTGCATTCGTGTCTGGGTTGATGACCAGCACGGAGCGCTCGTTGTACGGCACGGCGAAGATGAGGCCCGCATCCGACTGCGCGCCAGCGTACCACCGCCCGCCCGTGGCCGTCGCAGTGCTGGCTATGGCGATGGTGTCGCTGGCGTTGGTCACAGGGTCCACAACCAGCACGGCTGACGTGTCCCATGGGATGCCGTACACGAGGCCGTTGGAGGCTGCGACGCCGCTGATCCACTTGCCACTGCTGGTGCCGAAGCCGGCGATGCTCGTCGTGTCTGCCGTGTTGGTGGCAGGGTTGATGAGCAGCACGCCGTCTGCACGGTGCGGAAAGCCGACGACAACGCCGTTGCTGGCCAGAGCTCCGCCGCCCCACTTGGCACCGGTTTCGCCCAGGCCGCTGATGGTTGTGGCATCGGCCGTGCCCGCGCGCGGGTCGATGATGAGCACCGCCGCCGCGTCGTATGGGATGCCGAAGATGCGGCCATCGCCTGCCAGCACGGCGCCGTTCCACTTCGCCCCCTCCATATCCAATACGTCACGGGACGCGGTATCTGTTGAGACAATGCTTGTCGTGTCGGCTGCAGGAACGCGCATGCGACACACGGCTTCCGACAGCGCGGCGATGCGGCGCTGCTGCTGCTCAATCATGCGCTGCTGTGTTGTTGCTGCTGAGAACAAGTTGCCAACACTGACGCCATTGACAAAAACGGGCTGGCGTGCAGGATCGCTCGTGTTGATGTGCAGTGTCCCCGCCTCATCTTCCACAAACACCACCTCTGCAGAACACCCCACCGCCACACAGGCAACAAGCACGAGTGCGACAAGGCGCGCTGTTGTGGCTGCTGGTTGTGTGCGGTTGTTGTTCCTCCACCTCATCATCGTCGTGCTGTCGCCGATGATTTGTAATAACTTCCACCAAACGTCACAACTTGGTGGTTTGTTTGCGTGTTGTGTGTGTTGTCGCACTCACACTCTTATTTGAGTGCTTCACTCTCCAACACTCTTTACCCGAGTGCTTCGCTCTCCAACAACTTCAAACAACGGCTGCGAGGGCCGTATGATGGTGATGCTGATGGTGACGATGTCGTGGTAGCAAGGAGAATGACAACGATGAGGACAACGACACATGTTGGTGATGGTGACGGCAGTCGTCGTGATGACAATCATGGCAAATGATGAACGATGACGTGCAATTGCACGAGGTGCAGGTGAACACGGAGGAGGATATGTTGAACTGGGGAAAGCGACAAAGCAAAACAGTGCGCGATGCAGCAAGCATATTGGGCGAAACAGCATGCGCTTGTAGTAAGGCACCTCACAAGACCGACACATGCGCTGCGAACGAGGAAGAAACCTGTGATGAGAATCGAAGGACGGCAGCGCAAAGCACAGAACAAATCACACACGCACACATGTGATTGCTTTTCGTTAGTTGCCCTGGCGCCGCGGTGCCGGTGAAAGCTCCGTGTCGGGTGTCACTGTCAAATATTCATCACGATCCGCTGTGGGAAGTGTGTGTGTGTGTGTAAGTGTGAGTGTGTGCGCGAGTGTGTGTGTGTGTGGGGGGGGTGCTGTACATGATCGATGGCAACTGTCAAACATTAGTCTCATGCCAAATTGTCCCATGCACGCACAGTTGACATAATCCATAATCACTCACGTGATTCGTAGATGGTGTGGTCTTCGTACAGACCTGCCAGAGTTTGGCATATCGCATGTCCATCGCATGTGAGAGAAAGTTGGCGTGATAATTCACATCAACGCAAGACGGTGCTCTGTAGCAAAGCTGCAAACCCCAACATCCATCACTTCCCCCTGTACGCGCGCTAACACACGGTACCTTACTCCCCTCCCCCCCCCCCCCTTTCACACACACACACACACCTTCCTCCTCGGGCTTCGACTCGTTCGCCGCCGTATTTGCGGCCCATGATGGCCTGCTCTGCACCCACGACGGGTCGTTGATCAGATACGCGGGGTTGGTCATCGTGCGCACGTCCAGGCGCCGTCGGTCGTCGTCCTTGGCATGGGCGCTGCCCGCAGCGCTACCGGTGGCAGGGAGGACGTGGTGGCCGCTGTAGTGGCGCTTGAGCACAACGACGATGATGATCATGGCAACCGCAATGATGACACCAACACCGACAGCGACGAACACGAGCGGGCTGGTGGCCGCGCTGTTGCCGCCCGATCCAGACTGCGAGGCGGACGGGTCACGCGTGGTCGTGGCCGCATTGTCGTTGGCGTTGTTGCTGTCAGTATTGGTGGTGGTTGTTCTGCCGTCGCGCGCCTGCACGCAGCGGCCATTAACCAGCTCGTCCCCACCAAAGCAGGCCGTGCACTGTGTCGGCAGGGTGCCAGAGCACGCCCTGCATGATGGGTCGCACATCTTGCATTCGCGTGCGCCCAGCGTCGTGGTGGATGCAAAGTACTGGTCCGGGCACGCGTCCACGCATGCGTCGCCGGTTGGCAGGAGCAGCTTGGTGCCAGCGCACTGGGTGCAGCCACCAGCATTGCATGTGGCGCAACCAGTGGTGCATGGTACGCATGAACCGAAGTTGGTGTCAGCGTACGAGCCAGCGGGGCAGCTGCTGACACAAGCGCCGTTGGAACGGAAGTACCCGCGACGGCACGTGATGCACAGGTCAGCACTCGTACAGATGTCGCACGTGGCGGGGCATGTCAAACACTGACCGCTCTCCGTGTATGTGGAGGCGGGGCACGATGGCACGCAGCGCCCAAGGTACACGCTGTAGCTGCCATAGCACGACAGGCACTCATCAGCTGCCTCGCCAGCGCACGTGGCGCACGTCGGGTGGCACGGGACCCTGCAAGTCGTGGAAGTGGTGGTGGCGGTGGCGGTGGCGGTGGCGGTGGTCGTGGTGTTGTGTGTGGGCGTGTGCGTGTGCGTGTGCGTGTGCGTGCGTGTGTGTGAGTGCGTGCGTGTGTGGGCGTGTGTGTGTGTGTGTGTAAACATGTGATGACAGAAAAGAGTGCCGGGATAGTGGGCGAAGACGGTGAAGCAGCCTTTGGCATGCGTGTTGTTGAACACATACACGGCAGCAGTTTCACAACAAAAACAACAAGGGTTATTGTTAGCTGCAACGAACGTGGTGGTCGGAGACGTCGTGGTGGTCGTCGTTGTCGTTGTCGTCGTCGTCGTGCTGTCGCCAAGCAATGACACAGAGCAGGCGGCAAATGGTGTGAGAAGCAGCTACACATGTGACTGTACACGTTCGGCAAAGTTCATGGACACACAAACAAATAAACACACAACTGCATACACACAAACACTCAGAAACACTCACAAACTACCCCTCGCTAGACACACACACACAGACAGACACTTGCTCCACGTACGTGGTGAGCGGGACACAGATGGCGTCGGAGTATTCGGTGCACGCTGCAGCCGTGAGCTGATCGCTGCCACAGGTGGTACATGGCGAGCACTCCGTGTCGGCATCGGCCGTGCACGGCGACGACACCCATTCCCCGGCACCACATCCGCCCCGACACCGCTGACACACGACATCGCTCGTGCGCGTGCATGACGCAACCTCGTACTCCCCAGCGCCGCACGCGGTGCACTTTGCACACTGGCGATCGGTGTCACTCGTCGGAGGGATAGCTTCGTACTCGCCTTCACCGCACTCCGTCGCGGGCATCGTGAAGTCGGCAACCGCACTGAGTCGACCATCCCCACCGCTGTTGCGCGCATACACAGCGGCACCATAGCGGCGCAGCGGCAGCAGTCCACCGATGACGTGCGACGTGGCAAGCCCAACATCAATGGGTGGTAGGAGCACATTGTTCTGCTGCACAACCACCTGATACCCAGTCACGGCGGCCAGCCGGCGCTCAGCCAGCACGGGCGTCCACGACACGCGCACGTGTGTGCTGTTGATCACAGACGTCTGTTGACGATGGATGTTCAGTCATTGAGGAAGGGGTTAGAGTGCGGTGCGAAAGTGGTGACGTGATGGATTGTGCGTGTGTTGTGTGCATGTTTGCGCGTGCGTGCGCGCTTGTGTGTGTATGTGTATGCGCGCATGCGCATGCGCCAGTGTGTGTTTGTTTGTTTGTTGCCCTTCACGACCGCTGCAGAACGCTGCGTGCTCCCCTCTCCCTTTCTCCGCTCACACACACATACAAGCAACGCACCACGACTGCCTGCGGTGGGGCTGGCGGGCGAACAGCGGTGTCAAACTGGAACTGAGCAGTGAGACCGAGGCCTTCGTCAGTGTCGGCCTGAACGCGAATGGTGTAGGACGTGGCATGCTCCAGCGAAGAGAGGGTGAACGTGGTCTCACGATTGCTGCGGGACACGGGGAATGTCTGCTTTGACGTAAACTTCGAGTCCTAGCCCATGTCAATGTACGCAGGTGTGATGTGTTGGCGAAAGTCACGCGATGGTGATGCGCATGAAGCATCACGGGTAAGCGGCTGTCGCGAACGCCTGGTAGCCTCCCATGGTGGCGTGATAAACGACACACACAGAGACTATCACATGGCACATTCACGTTAACAGCCACCACACACACACACACATACCACGCCCTCCCCCGCACACACACACACACGCAACACTCACCCCCTCTGCCTTGTATTGGAGGTGGAAGGCAGTGAGTGGGCTGGTCCAAGTGGCCTTGAGCCGCAGCTCTGTCTCTGCTGCGGATTGAAGCGTGATGATGGGCGCCGCCACGTCGGCGGGGACTGTCGTGACGACGACTTGGCGCAGCGGACCAGCACCCGCGCCCGTCAGCGCAACCACGTTCACCGTGTACGTCGTGCCCTGTAAAGAGAGGAACACCGAAGGAGGATGTTAACGGTGTAGATGTCAGCGACATGATGTCAAACACAGACGTTCGGCAAGGCGGCAAACATCACACGCTCGCACACACGCACACGCACTCATGCACACGTACGCACAAACACACACCCACAAACACATACACACACGTACAAACACACAGCATACGAAACACGTACTGAGAGCAGGCCTGAAAATGTGCAGTTCTGCGTGGGCGTGGTAATGACACTGCTGGCGTTCACGATGCTCGGCTCTATGTGTGCACGATAGTACAGGATGCCGTTTGCGGGCGATGGCGGCGTCCACAGCACCTTCACCACGTCGCCAACCTCCTGTGCAATGAGCGAGCCCACAGCACCGGGCGTCGCTTCGGCGGTGCGGAACGTGTAGGGAGCAGACGTCGGCGAAGACACGCCAGTCGTGGTGATGACCACGGCCTCCACGTTGTACACCGTGTACGCGTCGAGCCCAGACAGCGCCTGGCTGGCGTTGAAGCCATCAGCAGCAGAGAACACGAGCCATGCCGGTGTTGCGCCGGTGATGGGGCGGCGGTTGGAGTCCTCGACGGCCGTGACGGTCACGTTGATGGTGGCAATGGTGTTGCCGTTAAGCTCAACCGTTGGTGGTGGCTTCACCCACACGTTGGCGGATGTGCTGGTGACGTCTGATGTCCACACGGACGGACCGGAGCACACCTGTGACCCGCCGTTCGTCATGTGCAGCGCTGGTGCAGAGTATACGCCCTCGCCAGCAGCAGTGCGGGCTGCAACCTGGAACTCGTACGGATACACGGCAGTGTCCTCCAACTCAAGCACGGTGTAGGTCTCAACACGTGGTGTGTCGATGTAGACAACGTCGATGCTGGCGGGGTGGCGTGTGCAGTCGGTCCTTGGTCCCTGACGCACAGAGATGGTGTAGCCAATGAGGATGCCATCAGCCTGGAGCGGGCTGATTGGGTCCCAGCTCAGCGTGACAGTCTCGGTTGTTGTGCTGTCCACCTGCACGTTCGTGGGTGCAACGGGTGGTGTTCCCTCTGCTGTTCGAGCAATCGACGCATCGCTGTACGGACCCAGGCCATCAATGGTGGAGGCAGCCACCTTGACCTGTTGTTGTGGTTGTTGCGGTTGTGTGTGTGTGCGTGTAAGGGTGTGCATGTGTGTGTGTGTGAGTGTGTGTGTGGTGGTACAACCCCGGTCAATCTTGACAGAGAGCAAGTTGAGCAAACGATGCCACCAACATGTTCATACACATGTGCACACAAACCTGGTAGTATGTGTATGCGTCGAGGCTTGTGAGGTTGAAGTTGGTGGGATCGTTGCCTGTGACGATGGTCCAGGGTGTGCCCGCTGGTTGGCGCATGCTGTTCAGGCGCTGCACCCACAGCTTGTACGATGAGATGGTGCCGTGGCGCTCGCCAAACAGCGGCTGCTTCCACGTGATGTGCAACACGGTCGTTGCTGCCGCTCGCGCCACCACATCCTGGGGTGGACCTGAAGGGTTGAGGAGGGAAGGAAAGGCGAGAAATGGCGCGTGGATGAGGACAGGGCACAAACGATCGTGTGCGAGGGAGAAGGCAGCCAGGCGAAGGAATCACGCGCACTCAAAGCACGACTCGCACACACACACACGCACAAGCGCCAACCTGTTGGGGTGCCGGAGAGGGTGCGAGCGCGCACGGCGTCAGAGGCCGGGCCCTGACCGCGGACGGTGCGGGCAGCCACACGGAAGGCGTAGGTGGTGTACGGATCGAGGCCAGTGAACGTGTGCTGGTTGTCCTCCGTGATGACGGGATGGCGGCCGATGCAGACGTCGTCCTGGCACGCGTCAAATACGGTCGCATCGTCGCCTGTATGGCGTATGTGAAGGGGGGTATGTGGATGTGTTTGTTGATGAGGAATGGGGAGACGTGTGGTCGCGAAATGATGCTCTCAAAAGCACACACATACACACACACTTACGCACCCACACACACACTTACGCACCCACACACACACTTACGCACACACACACACACACACACATGCACACGCACACACACACGCTTACACACACACACTTGGCAATACTGACCGTCGTTGCATGGGGTGCCATTCGGGGCGACATCATAGACGCACTCGCCGCTGACGCAGCGGCCGGGCAGTTTGCACTGACCCATCGGTGGATCACATGTCTGCATGTTGTGTAATGATTCGTAGGCAAAGGGATGCATGTGTTGAGTCTCAGGTGCACTGCATCAAATCAAACATCTCACTACATTGCGCACACCACAGGCACATTGCTCGCAAACCACCAAACCTAACCCAAGCGTCAACTCACCACATCAGCACACGCATCTGGCGCTTCGGTGACGCGATAAAACACCTCCATGTCGTCCACCTCCCACGCGTTGAGCGAACCGGCCAACCAGGTGTTGCTGTAGGAGTCGATGCTCTCATGCACCCTGTTGTTGCGTGTGATCCCACAAAGGACACACATGTGAGGCAGAACGAGCACATGGAATCAACTGCATGGCACATCGCAGTGTGATTGGCCCCACCACCGCCGCCTCCACCTCATGTTTACACAAAGTACCATCATTTCATTTCTTACGTGTACGAGTTGGTTTGGGTGTTGGCCGTTCGGCAGTCCGTTGACATGCGGAAGTCGGACGCCCCTGGTTGGTGTGTGTGTGTGTGTGTGTGTGTGTGTGTGTGTGTGTGTGTGTGTGTGTGTGTGTGTGTGTGCGTGAGAAAATGTGTACGTGTGTGCGAGTTTGGAGATGCCAATGAATCACCAAGCTGCAGACCTTTCCACACACACAACACACACACACAACCACACACAACACATACAACACATACAACCACACACAACACACACACAGTCACTCACCAAACTCAGGGCAGTAGCCTGAACGTGTGTACTGCGCATATTGCGGCTGGGACAGGAGATCTGTGCGCTCGAATTGGCCGTTGTTGACAAAGCGGAAGAGGAAGGCATCATTGCTCTGCAGCCACGTGGACGTGTCGGAGCGCCAGCTGTTGGGGGCAAAGGCGCCAAACACGCGCGGGCCCTGTGGGCTGCCCTCTGTCGAACGGACAACAACGACTGTCTGGCCCTTGTTGTCGCAGCGCGAGTGGAAGGTGGAGCCGGAGAAGCCGTGGTCGGATGCGCGGAAGCAAAGCTTGAAGCTCGAATCGCTGTTGGGCGACACCTCCTTGGAGATGGCCAGGTTCATCTCCTTGCTCAAGATCTCAGAGCCCACAATGGACGGAAGGGTCGGACGAGCAGACAGCACGGCGCGGTTTCCGTAGATGTTGCGGTCAAACACTGTCAACAGAAGGTGCGGTGGGGTTAAGGTGTTGGTTACACCTGACAATGCAATGGGGGCGATTTTGTTTTGACACAGCACCCGCCATCTCACGCTTACACACACACACACACACACACACTCTCTCTCTCTCTCTCTCTCTCTCTCTCTCTCTCTCTCTCTCTCT